AAGGTGCCTACCTATCTATAAACCACTACCTCGTCCATACTGGCTCCAGGAGACAGTTGGTCGTTGCTGGAGGGGACGGGGTGCACGGTTCTTGTGGCCGTGTTAGGATCAAAGAGTGGTTCCATGCACTCAGTGTGGAGCGGACTACGGTCCAGCCACCGCCTTGTGTGTGCGCTTGATTCCCCAAATACAGCGTGCTTGTGTTTGCCTGTGAAGGAGTGTGGGCCGGCTCCGTTGATGAAACGTGGCTCCCATCCACATGCCTCCCGGTCTTATTCCTCCGGGTTTATGCTGGATATGGGGTGTGTGGATGGAGCTGTGGGTGGTGCAGCGCAAGCCATCCATGGTCCTTTGTAGGCACAGGCGTCCTGTGACTGGCCACAGTGACAGGCAAATCCGAAACCGGATACCGCCAACCATATATATATATATATGCAGATATAGGTTATTGAATAATGGTATGTTTATAAGTAAGAAATGAATACGTGAATTATAGTTGGTGTTAGTCTATCTACTCCTGCATGTTTGATGCATAATGAGTGCGAAATGGGAGATTTAAGAGATTTCAGTATTGTTATGTCGCCTGAAAGCAACATTGTGTTTAATTACCAATGGTTTCGTGGTATACAATTGTGGACGTAAAGGAATGTTATATTTAAAAGTGCGGACTGCAGTTGGTTGTTATTGCGATCACCACCCTGACGTGGAATGTCCCAGTGCCGGTGAATGTATTACACCATGCTTGTGATTTCAAATGATGACGCAGACCTAAAACATCCTTTATGTACCCCAAAGAAAACGTACCTGCGCCGAACAGTGATGCCCTGCTGTAGCTGTGAAGCGGTGGACTGCGAAGTGCAAGACACTGGAAAGTCCCAGTCCGCTCACATTGGCAGCTCGGTTGCCGTTCCAGTTAAAGAGTCACAGATGTCAGTTTCACAACCGTGTTATTGGAAGGTCACCATACACAAATCGGACAGGTTCTCCAGCCTCCGGGTGCATTGGTTGCATTCAACCCCTGGTACACGTAATGCTCACGTAGTTTAGCAGCACTAATGGGATCCATAATCCACGCATGGGGTATGCAAACACAGAAAGGAATTTTACAGAACGGAAACACGGGAGATTTATGTCGGTAATTCTATGCAGACCGGGAACTTAAGAAGCAGGAAATGAAACTGTACAGTGACCGCGGCGGGGTTCACAACATCGCCACCATCACGTGCCAGGAATACGGATTTGAACCGAAGGAAAGCTTCAATCTTGACTGCCATAATCAGACAAGGCATCAGGGAAGCGCGTGTACCAGAGACATGCCAGGAGTAAATGTCATCCAAATGTGTTTAAACAGATTGCGCGCGCAATACGAGGAGCAAGAGAAGCAAACGAAATCCGGATTACCGGCGTAGCAAACACACGTTTCATGACACCAATGGGAGCAGAGGTCACACATAACCCACTCCACGGCGTCACCATGACCTCGGATGTCGTTTTCCCGCTGACGAACACCGCAGTCATTTTCATAACCGCTTCTATGAGTAAATAACTTCCGTTTAACTGGCACCCGGTATGAGAAAGATGTGTTGGTATGCATCTTCCGAAATTATGTGCCCTTAAGAGCACTTTTAATTGGGCTCACCTCCGTCACACGGCATTTGAGTGGCGATTTACGCTTCCTGGACACGGTTGCGGAACTAGATGGAAACGTTGGTTGCATTGAAGTCATCGGGCCGACATTATTCACCTCAGTTACTTGCAGGGGCTGCGCAGTGAATACCGCGACGGTTGGTTGATCATGGACGCTTCGCAGCGGTGGTAAACCACAGAACATGCTTACGTTCGCTTCCGTATCCAGGGGAAGGGGGTACAGGCCACTTGAAGGTGCGACTATACAATTGAAAGCTGCCTTCCTTGGACATCAATGACGCCAGTATTTTCAACGCGTTCAATGCGGTAGAAAAGTTATCCGATCCGTAAGTACATAACTGAGTTTTAGTGTCCGATAAAACCCCGAGACTTGCGCACTTTCCAGGCACGGCTGACAACCACAGTACTAGTTGTGGGTTGACGATCTCGAATCTCCAACACACTATCCTCCGGCACACCATCGGAACTAGCTGCGGGAGCTTGCCGAGGCACAATCCATCGACAACCATGCAGTATGTCATCCGCGGAATGGTCGTGAAGGCAAGCAACGTAACAAATGTGACTACATGGTAGCCGCCATTGGCGACTGAACTCGCAAGCACATTCGCTTCCACAGCCCTCCATATACCTATCAACCGAATACAGTTAGGATTTTGTACCCGCTTCTAATGGTGTTTCATACCGCATCACCCACCAAGGCCCAAAACAGTATTGTAATGGAACCACCGTATGAGGATTTACTATCGCTCATTAGATGAAGTAACTATTCGTGAGCGTCAAATGGACGCACTGCGATCACACTGCATAAACAGGTACTAAGGGAATCCATGTAACAGGATAAATGCAAACACTTTGAAAAAGCATCCCAAGTCAACAGGTACATATGAGGACATTAAAAAATGCAGTCCAAGGAAATAAGAAATAATCACAGACATTAAAATAAATGAAGTCAGAAAATCCATAAAAACACAAGTATGGCAAAGTAAAAGTAAACACTTACGGACTCTGAACGTGGACAATATTCCAAGTCGTGCCATTCGAAGGTAAGCAATAGTGGAACAATAGTTAAGGACACATTACCAGAAAAACACATTTACAAAGTATATCACAAAAACGCAATGCTTGCAGATCATCGCTGATGTCTGCGGCTGCAAATAGGTCGCAAACGGAAGCAGGTATCCGTAAAAGGTTTAGGAACAATGCTCTCACATTCTGAGCCCATATGGTTAAACCTGACAATGCAATACTGGCACTCAGATACAATGATCACGTTGTCAGGTGCGTTGCATGAGTACGTTGTATCATTCAGAAGCCACACTTTACGACGTGTTAATCCACGATGTTATATGCCAGCCCCTGAGATTCAGATCACTGAAATAAACAGCATTTCAGCATATTCCAAGCACCGTCTCAAACCTGCCCCGCGGGGTTTCGTCCGTTACGAATTACGTGCTTCAGGACGCCTCTATAAGACTGGAATGGAAATGCGGAGAAATCATCAAGCTTTCCATGCACCTACACATCCAATGCTAGGCCATCATCATCATCATCAACAGCAGTACATCAGCCATTTGAACTGATCCTTCGCTGCCATACAACCATGAGGACCTATGAAATAAAGAAGGAGAGATGGGGGACTTACCTGAAAACCTTAATGTCCTAAGCAAACATTCAAGGTCAAGGCGCCACATACCGTCACAAACAACTGGCTATCGTGCAAAGATAAGGCGGCATCGGCGAGACAGCTTCCTTGCGGCTTTCACTGCCACGCGTCATAATCAGCCATTACCCCGCAGATAACTCCGCACCAAACACACTTTAAACAGGCAATCCGATTAGGAGACGGCAGCAAACGCGCCACTGGTGTCGGTTGCGAGCCATGTCCTGTAAAGTCTCGAGCCAAGCACAAGGCGACTCACGTGAACTCCAGCTCGGAAGCCGAGACGGACCAACGGCACGCAGTTTGGTCGTCAGTGTCTTCATTTCCCGTTGCCAAGTCAACTTCTGTCCACCGCGAGCCTTGCGCTACCCTACACCTTGTAGACTAAACAAGGCCTTCCTAGGTAAGCGGTGACCAGGCATACGTAGCACGTGCCCGAGCCAACGCAACTTATTCAGTGCTATCTGTTGTTCTAGGGAGCTAGCATGATTATCACTACCTAGTACTCGCCTACGCACATCATCGTTGCGGACACACTGGTGCCATCCGACTCAAGCAATGCTTCGCAGACAACAATGATCAAAGATTTGAAGGCGCCTCAAATCTTAAGATTGAAGGGGCCAAGTCATACTACCATACAGCAGAATGCTAGGTGGCTTAGGCAGTGGACGTTGAACGTCACCTGGTCTTTCTCGTGCAGGCGGTAGTACCCGTGTATGAAAATAAGAATTAACCGTTTCGCGAAAGACCAGTACTGCTTATGCAACAGCGGATGACAGAAAATGTATATCCCTAAATGAAGGTGTAAAATGTTGTAATAATCTCCTGTTAGCACGTTTAACAACACTGAAGGCGCGGCGTAGAAACCAGACTGCCTAAGTTCCGCGGCGCTCCAACCTATAAACATGGATATACCGCTGCAACGCATAGGGAAATCACATGGCCATGCACACCTATGTTGTATCAATAAGGAAACTATAGCAAGCAATGTATCATTGTGCAATTTCAGTTTCTTCCAAACCGGTGCCTCTTTCCATAAACCGATTATACGTCGCATCACATCTAAGCACATGAAATGCATGTAGTCAATAGGAAATTTCGAATCGATATCAATACCAAGGTATTCAAAAGGGGACATTAGAGATTGCTTCCTTTTCATAATCAATTTGTGAAACCTACGCCGGCACGTGGTAGATAGGAATGTAACGTTTCGGTTGACATAGCTACCTCGTTGAATGCATGTGCCGCAACTGCTGTACCCTGAGCGTTCCTCCGTCCTCCTCACATATGCACGAGCAGGCGCGTCACATATAACAGCCCCGTATTCAATAAATATGGGCCTGCAGCATGCAGTGACGGTGAAACCCATTGACGACAGCACATGCATATCAAGTATCAGCGGGCACAGAAATTCATTCACATCTGGTTTCTCATGGCCAACGTAAACACCGACAACCAATGGTTTTGACTTAACGGGATAAATAGATCGATACTGATTCTGCCAGGTCCGCATTTTCGAGGAGATGAATGCGGTGAAAGCATCTAAGTGCATGTGGACAATAACCCTTTCCGACGGCTGAATGTCTCCATCTTGGCAACTACTGCATAGACCCCCCAGCAGCCCAATGTGTCCATATGCACCAGCACAAATGCTAATGGTCTGCACATTTTGTGGGGTTTGCATAAGTTCCCGGTAATCTTTCGGCATCCGAGACACGCTCTTACGAATGGCAGCAAGCAACTTGTTCACGGAAGAAATGCTGGGTCGCATACTTCGCACCTATTGTCTTAAGTCTTCCATAGCATCAGCAGTTGCAATCCGATCGGTGTCGCTGCTGATAAAAGATTCGTCCACTTCCAATTCTGACGATGAAGCGCATACACCACTACCAACGGTTAGCACCGTCGTTGTACTCCGCAGCGATACGGTATTCTGCAGGGTTCATTGTACCTATGTGTCATTTGTGCACAAACGTCCTGTGGTTGCTTATGTGAGGTATTCAACAATATAAGCATATAAGCAACCACAGTTATTCAACAATTACTGCGGCACAGTAGCTGAGGTGTTCCCCACCTCTAGCTAACGTGTATGATGATGATGACGATGATGATGATGATGAGGAGGAGGAGGAGGAGGATGATGGTGATGACGAGGATGATGATGATGATGATGGTATTCAACAACAAAATAGGGAGAGTATAAGTCACCCGTACTTGGTTAGGGTTCCCACATTGTAGGCTTTGGAATATCATGTTCCCTACCATCCACAGGACAGTCACGTTGATCACTTCGTCTGAGGCGTTTTTTCGCGCGCAAATACGGATTCCGCAACGTGTGGTCACTAGGCAGCATGAAAGACCATTGACGGTTTGTACACCTGGGGCTAATTAAAAAGGATGAACATCAAACGTTACGTTCAAGGTGGCGACGTACATATAAAATGACCTTGATGAGTAAAGCTACGCAAACATCTTGCAATGTCGCAATCGAAGTTATTAAGCGAATGCGCCCTGCAAAACAGAGGAGAAGCTTACAATAAAGTAATCTACGTAAGGCACGAGTAAATGCGCAAGTGAAGATAATGCGCAACCTGCGCGTTAGGGCAATGGCAGCCAGGGCAAACCAACGGTTTCAAGTTCAAGTCCAAGTTCAATCGGGACTGGAACGTAGAACTATCCCGTGAGTGTTCCTTCTTCTGCGGGTCGTTGAACCAGGAGTTGGCGGAGTTTGAAATACTGATGGACCTAAAACATCACACCCTGTCCAACCAATTAATGCCCACGTATCCTGCCTTAGCAGTCACTGCTGGGCCGTTTACGTGAACTAAGAAAGAGAAAAAAGTAAACTCAGAAGGCAAAAGAGAAAGTGGAGAGCTAAGCAAGCGGAATACCAAGATATTTGAGTCATTAAAAAGGAACTAAAAAGTGAAGGTGAGTCAGTTAGGAAAAAGGAAAGGTTTGGTGTTGCCACCCAAGAGCATCGAGCTGGCGCGCAAAACCCTGAACCGTAGGTTCCCTAACCATGTGATTTGGAAGCGAATTCCAGCGATCTATAACTCGGCGCGACAGACGAGTTTCTGTCCTAACCCTATCAGACCGTGGCTTATGCAGTTTCAGTGCGTGACCGCGGAGATTATGTAACGTAGTGGGACTAAATAGAACCGATAAGTCAGGGCCAATCATACCCGTCAAAATACGATAAGTGAGAATCAGGTCCCCTCTTATCCTTCGGCAGTGCATTGAGTACATCCCCAAACTGAGTAAGCGTTCAGGATACGCCTGTTCCCGTAGACCCTGCACTAGCCGAGTGACCACTCGTAACACCCTCTCCAAGTCCATTTTGTCTCGGTTAAGACATGGTGGACAAGCCTGAATAAAATATTCCGGGTGGGGTCGGACAAATGCCGAAAATAGCTTCGCCAACAAATTGGCCGTTAAGATTCCGAAAAAGCGGCGGATAAACCACATCATGCGAAACCCTCGACAAGCAGCCTTCTTCCAACTGTCTCCAGAACGAAGTGCTGATGCGTGTACGACTCCTAAATCAACCTGCTGAGTGACAACAGGGACTTCACCACCGCCGACAACATATCGGGTGGGAGGATTTGCAGCTCCGATTCGGAGAACAGAACACTTGGCCCTACTTATGGGCATCAACCATAAGGTAGACCAATCCCAGAGCTTATCCAAGGCATGCTAAATTGCCTCAAGACTCCCGGGATATGCACAATATTCCAGAGATTAAGGCCGTGAGCAAACATTAGTGATGACACCCCTAGCTCTCCCGGCAAGTCATTTGCATAGATCGCGAACAACAATGGCCCCAATACCGAGCCCTGCGGAACGCCACTAAGGACAGCTTGCCTGAGCGAAAGGCTACGCCCCACCCGTACGCACTGTCTCCTCCCCTCAAGGAAGGCAGACACCCATTGAAGGGCGCGACCAGATATCCCGTAAGATCTCAACTTTAGTGAGAGCCGAAGATGTGGAACAGTGTCAAAAGCTTTCGAAAAATCTACGAATAGCACGTCTACAGCGTGGCCACTGTCTACCGCTTCGGCCCAGCTTTCACGAGCTACAAGTAGTCTGACATGAAAATCCTTTGCGGAATCCATGTTGTGCAACACTGAGAAGGTTGAATCGATTCAGGTGGTTCTCCACTGAATCCCTTATCAGCTTTTCAAACAACTCGAGTACTACGCTTGTCTAACTGACAGGCCGGTTGTTCGCGGGTAGAGCGTTGTCACCACCCTTAAAAATCGGACAGATGATTGCCTCCTTCCATTCCGAAGGTAGGCTGCAGCTGTCCAACGATATTGAAAACACGCATGTGAGCGACCCACTCAGCTCAGTGGTCAATTCATGCAACAGCTTCGGATGAATTGAATGAGAGCCGGAAGCTTTAGAGAGATTAATGCCTTGCTGTAGCTCGAAGACCTGAGTCTCCTTTATGCTAAATTCAGCTAAGCAAGAATCCTCTGGAACTCTTGAAAACAAATCAACCTGTGGTAAATAGGTCTCCAGAGCAAAGACCCCAGTATACTGATCATTAAGTATACAAGCCTTGTCATAGCTTGCGCACGGGTCCCGTCTGCTCGCAATAACGCTGGTATAGACAGATTTGGCACGCTGCACCGAATGTTCCTGATGCCGAATTGCAAGAAAGATCGGCCCAACGGAATTCCGGGAGTTTGAAATCCCCTAGAACTAAACACTTATTCGCAGACTGAGTGTGAATAAGGTCAAGTATCCCCCTGGAAGAACTTGGTCTACCATCTCTATCTCTGTCTCAAGTTATCGATTTTGGTCATTCAAACAGTCAAGAAGTCAATCACAGCCCCAGTTGACGCTATATCCACAATCACTGTTATGTAAAAGTTTGGGTCTGATGAGATTTACCGAAAAGAATTCTTTACCCTGAAATGATTTCTACTTCTGTATTTCACTATAACTGTAAATTGCGTGGAGGAAGTGCATAAAACAGCCGATAGGGCTTCAACAGTCTGATCCAACGACTGGAATGTGCAGGTCCTCAATACATCTAACTTACAGCTCACATACAGTACAACGCCTCCACCTTGGCGACCAACAGAGCGATCAGTTCTAAGCACCGCGTAGCCACGTAAACATACGTCACCGTCCGTGATATCCGGAGACAACCACGTCTCAGTGAAAGCAAGTATGTCGGGACGAGATTTGTCTACAAGTAGACCCAACTTGTGCACCTTGTTCCTTAGGCTACGCACGTTGCTACGTACTACCTCAAGGAAGTCGGCACGATCATCCTTGGGTCGTGCGCCATCAGGATGGGTTCTGATAGGGCGGAAAATAACTTCCGGCTGACCACCTGAAAACCCACCAGACGGAGGCCTTGCTCACTAGCCGCCCGTCTAGTTTTGAGGTCTATGATAGCCTCCTTTAACTTCAATCTATCTACCAGTGGTAGGTCTGGCTGAATGCTGACACCACTACCCTTAAGTTTGAATGCAAACCGCAGTAATGATTTGCGTTCCTCCGGGGTAGAAAGGACCACGCGAAGAAGTCGGGGTCGCGGATTTGGCGTAGCGATAGGGACGTTCCCCAATCTGGTCAGCTCTCAGACAGTGACACCAGGGAAGCCAGGTGGAAGCAGCTTGCTGACACAGTTTCAGCCACTTGATGTCATCCAAGATGCGTTCCTTTGGGAGAGCGGCCGCAGATTCAGTAACGTTACGGAATATAACGCTACTACATGTGAAAGAGTCGGCACGACGGGGAGTGTTTACCCCACAAACCTTTGATTTGACACCTATACCAGATGTTTTCACCACTGGCGGTGGGACTGTCTCTGTCTTCATAAACGACGTAGAAGCAACGGTAGCGTAGGTTTTCCGCTCTATTGCCGGCGTCTTACTAGTTACTGGGTCTTCAAGCCCCTTCGAAGTTTTACGAGCAGATCTGGTCCGCTTCTTCTTTTGGTTCACTGGAGCAGGGATCGTTGACCTTGTGTCGCATTGAGCAGTTACCAGCACTTCGTCAGAACGGGTTGGTTCAGTGGCGGCCGAGACGGTTAGCATCTTCGGAAGGTTCTCCTGTGTACAATCATCAGACAACTTCACGACTGTCAAAGCCGGCATCTTTTTCGATGCCGTGGCAACTAATTCTCTGGGTTTAGAAGAGAGTTTTTGGTATTTCCGCACCCTATTTTTTCACTTTGATCGGCTCATGAGGATAGCCAGCAATGCTACCTGGATTGGCCGGTATGATGTGCGAATTCATGACCAAGTGACAGACCCCAGCGATGGACCGTCAACAATGTTGCCGTCTATTGCAGTGTCTTTAATCGCAATATTCAGGGATTTTAAAATCAAATCCATTTTCGTATCGAGTGACGCAAGAGAGGCGAGTTTGGCTATCGCCAAACGGGCGCGTCGATCTTTGAGCGCAGCATTCAGCACAGACGAAAAGTGAACGCTGGAAGACAGCATTTTGTACTGGTCAGCTTGTAGGCCGGTACAGCTTTCGTGATACCAGAGGCAGCAGACGTCACACTGCATGCCGCCAGATAAATCTGTTATTGGCTCTGAACAGTTAACCTGTCTGCAAGCTGCAGTAGACTCATCCAACAAGGACCCCATAGGTCCATCCGCCTCGGTGTTTAGCGAGACAGCCATGTTCATGTAAAAAACAGAGTGGAATTACAACACGTAAAAAATATTAAAACGACCGCAATAAAAAGGCAAAAAACAGGGTGCAAAACGGGAATAAAACTGGAAACAACCGGAAAAATTACCAGCATGCGCCAAAGACGCTTTGGCCAGTACCACTTTGATCGATCATTGGATCATTGGAATGTAGAGAGCAGAAGGAAAAATCCTTTGTCAGCTCCATCGCCTCCCATTCGTCACAGGGATCAAGGTGGACATTGCAAGTCGGTACCAATGGAACCGCTGCATTGACACAAGAAGCAACAAGATCCGAGTTTACTCAACAGGTAAGAATCCAATTGATGTTTGA